CAGGTTCAACTCTTCAAGTTGACGCTGGTATTGTACACAGGTAAGTTGGGAAACTAGGGATCGAGCCCTGGGATCTACCTCAGCTACCACGAATTGGTGAATACCGTTTCAATCCCCCCTTAAGCGGTATAATCAGCCAGGTACAGGCTGTGGGAGCAACTCGCTCTCGGATTATGACGAAGGTTTGGAAGCCGGTTTACTACATAGGTGTGGGGCGCATAGGACCCCGAATAGACCCTTGTTACATTAGTCTTAGTTTTCTTTTTTCTGCCTTGTTTGACGTCTTTGCCCTCCCTCTTTCCCTCCCCCCTTTTTCCATTTTCCCTTTTTTTCTCTTCTTCCTTTTTTTCCAGAAGGCTTTTTTCGACCGCAGGATTGCTGCATGAAACGTATGAATAGGAGCGGTAGCTTCCATCATAAGATTGCTATTCCGAGCCGGGCACCGTGGCTATTTCAGAACAGAACGCAGGGGTTCTAATTATCGGACCACCGTGCAGTAATTGTTTCCGACAGCGGGTAGAGCACGTTGCGTTCCGGTTTCGCGCTGAGCTAGGGCTGGGCTTAGTAGTGGGCGGTATGGACTTCTTCGCCGACTGGGACCTGGAGGAGGAACAACAGGAGCTGGAGGAAGTGGTAACGTCCCCGACAAGTGGCACTCTCCCGGTTTTGCCTTCCCGACCCTGCGCCTAGGCACACCCTAGCCAAGCATCATGCAGGCCGCCTCCACCTGCCCCGCTGAACCTGCTGTGCCTCACCCATGCCCCTTCGCGCGAAACACTACTTTCTTGCTCCTCCTCCTCCTCGCGCTGGTTCCGAATCTCGCCATAGCTTGCGCACTCTTTGCTGCATGCCTCTCCGAGCAAGTTTTTCTCCACCTTTCCGCTAAACGCTTTGCGCTGCTGATTGGAAGCGCCATCTGCTTCATAACTCTCTTCCTCGCATGCTGCTGCTGCCTTTTCTTTGAGCTCGGCGCCACGCGGGGACTTGCGGACTAGCTAGGAAGAGTAGCGAGGAGCAGGGACGATAGAGCATAGATCGGTGGCCGAGACTTCGTCATGCGCCTTTTTGGCATTTCTCTCCTTCCTCTCTTTCCTCTCTTTTCTCTACTTCATCCATTCCCTTCCCTACCTCTTGCCACATGGACCTTCTTCCCCCCTCTCCCCCTCAACAAACCTCGCCCTCCTCCCCAAAACCGTCCATCATCCTTGTTTCACAACACACCCCCTCGCACCCCCTCACCCCCCTCGCCTTCCAAAGATCATGGAAGATGTCCCTCCCTCTGACGATGCCCCACCTGGCATGGGGCAGAAAAGCACTTTAGGGAATTGCCACGCCCTTCCTGCAATTCGGCGAGATGATCCACGCGGGTGCAGGAGCGCGTTGGATCTTTGGAAGGCGAGGGGGGTGAGGGGGGGCGAGGGGGTGTGTTGTGAAACAAGGATGATGGACGGTTTTGGGGAGGAGGGGCGAGGTTTGTTGAGGGGGAGAGGGGGGAAGAAGGTCCATGTGGCAAGAGATAGGGAAGGGAGTGGATGAAGTAGGGAAAGGAGAGGAAAGAGAGGAAGGAGAGAAATGCCAAAAAGGCGCATGACGAAGTCTCGGCCGCCGATCTATGCTCCCCCCCTCTTCTTCCTTCCTTTTTTCCCCATGTGGAACCACATGAACGATTGGCAGCAGAGGAACGAGATGGGCGATGTATTTTGTTCTTGTATCAAAAAGGTATATTCGGTGTGATCTCTGGTTGTTTCTGGATGTATGGGCTAACCCTTCCTTCTCTCAATGCTTG